GGTAGTCAGGAGCATCACTTTCTAATGTTTATTGATATATTTAGAGGGAGGGGATCTAAAGTAATGCTTTAAAATTCAGATTAGATTAATGTCTACCATTTTCTTAAAGTCATGGTAGTTTCAGTAACCATGGTAACTGAGGACACGAGTTATCTAAATGACTAATGTCATCTTTATGGCTTTCAGAAAGGACAGGAGACCGACAGGTGACTATCAAAGGACTAGCAGCAGCAGCATGATGATGATGATGTTAAATGTGTTGTTTTAGGAACATCCATTGCAAATACATGGAATTCAATAAACATTGAATAGCATATCATGCAGTTTGTCTGTGCCTTTTTCTCCGTGTTGTCCTGGTTTGCTGTGCTGCCTCCTAGTCCCACCATGGTGTGCTGTGCTGCCTCCTAGTCTCCACCATGGTGTGCTGTGCTGCCTCCTAGTCGCCACCACCATGGTGTGCTGTGCTGCCTCCTAGTCGCCACCATGGTGTGCTGTGCTGCCTCCTAGTCTCCACCATGGTGTGCTGTGCTGCCTCCTAGTCTCCACCATGGTGTGCTGTGCTGCCTCCTAGTCTCCACCATGGTGTGCTGTGCTGCCTCCTAGTCTCCACCATGGTGTGCTGTGCTGCCTCCTAGTCTCCACCATGGTGTGCTGTGCTGCCTCCTAGTCTCCACCATGGTGTGCTGTGCTGCCTCCTAGTCTCCACCATGGTGTGCTGTGCTGCCTCCTAGTCTCCACCATGGTTTGCTGTGCTGCCTCCTAGTCACCACCATGGTTTGCTGTGCTGCACTCCTAGTCACCACATGGTTGTTGCTGTGCTGCCTTCCGTATTCGCCACCATGGTTTGCTGTGCTTGCCTCCTAGTCGCCACCATTGTTTGCGTGCTGCCAGCCTAGTCTCCACCAGGTGTGCTTGGGCTGCATCTTAGTCTCCGACCATGGTTTGCTGTTGCGCGTTCCTAGTCGCCACCATGGTGTTTCTGTGCTGCCTCCTAGTCTCCACCATGGTTTGCGTGCTGGCCTCCTAGTCGCCATCCGATGGTGGGCCTGTGCTGCCGTCCTAGTCTCCACCATGTTTGCTGTTCTGCCTCCTAGTCCGCCACCATGGTGTTGCTGTGCTGCCTCCTAGTCGCCCCCCATGGTTTGCTGTGCTGCCTCCTAGTCTCCACCATGGTTGCTGTTGCTTGCCTCCTAGTCGCACCATGGTGTGCTGTGCTGCCTCCTAGTCGCCACCCATGGTTTGCTGTGCTGCCTGGGGATGCTCAATCGCTCAGAGAAAGGTGTACGAATGTACGGCTTCCCCACTGACACAGAGCGGAGGAAGCAGGAGCAATTTCACAACCAACAGCAAAAAAATATGTGATTTATATACAAACACTGCATTTGCACTTTTTCACAAAACGAAAACCACACCATTGGGAAAGCTTAATGTTTTGTTTAATACAAAAAACAGGGAAAGGCTTGAAAAACACTGAGAGTTGAGACTCAGGGTGCAGGGTGAGGGTCTCAGTGCAGGTATTCAGGCTCCATTGAATCCCCCTCTGGTTCTTGTGCTGAAAGAGGGAGTAACAGACAGGAGAAAGGGTTATACACACCTATATAGCACACCTATTGGATGGGAAATTGCCTTGGGGAGATAAGGTGTGGTCTTTGTTCCCAACTGAAGTTATGGAACTTTATTATTTGTGAGTTTAACAAAGTATGACAAATGGCATCAGTAACATATGTGATATGAATTTCTATAAAGTTGTCTCACATTCTTGGTCATATTGTATATACAGTATGTAATGAGTATAACATGTCCAGTAAGTATAAAGTGTTTCCTAATACTGTGTATTCAACCACTATGGAATATGTATGTGGGCAGACAAAACTGAGTTGTTCTGTGTGTGAAGTAACCTCAAGTCACTCCGCAGGCACATTTTGATGCAGACCAGTTTGTCAAGACAAAAAAGGGCAAGACTAGGCTGAGAGCAGAGGCTATACCCACCATCTTCGTGCATCGCCCTGTGGTCAAAAAGAGAAGGGCCCCTGCACCACGATTCACCCCGGGACCTGTATCTACAAAGCCCATAGCTCATGATCACATGAGTGTGAAAGGTGACACAGGTATAATAAGTATGAACTCTTAGTAACAAAAGTAATATTTCTTATTTTTAAGTGGTATAATATTTTAAATGTTCGAACATTTACAGTGCCATGTCTTCTACTTACATTAGTCTCAAAGATTGAGGGAAGAAGGGAAGGGATCACTGCCCTCCACCTGCCAGAGGAGCGCAAACAACAAAAACAAGCAAGGTGTCCCGTCATGTACCTGGAAGTTTGGGTTGGCAAAATGGAGTAAGAGAGGGACTTGAAAAACCTTGGTGGCTGTCTACTCATGTTGTTACAGTTGTCTTGGTTACAGCTCTCAAGTTTTTTTTTGTGCCATTTCCACATCTTTAGAAAATATAAAAATGGAAGTGAAATCAACCTCTTCTCTGGAGAACAAACTTTGATTTCTCTGTCTTGTGAGTTTGCAGTCTTGCAGTTTTGCTCCTCCACCTGTAACATCACTGCCCCTCCACCTGCCATACAGTAGGTTACTAACAAGATTACTGATATAATACAGTGATATAATACATGTTTAGTATGCTTACTTATATAAAACAGTAGTATTAAACTTACCTTGTGTGTTCACTCTCACTTAAGTCCCTCTCCCTTTGCCATCAATCCAAAATCAGCTGAGCTGCAACATTATACACACAGGTAATAATCAACATAATCACAAGGACACAATATGGCTCTGCTAAAAACACTCACTGTTACACGCACCAAAGTTATATTTATCTAATATTTAACTCCCTCCACCCCCCGCATACAATCCCGTTTAGAAGCCCCTCTTCTCTAATTCAACAACGTTGGACCAAATAGACATTAAGAGAACGGAATTTACAATTAAAAGGCTGTTCAACGTGTGTTGCTAACTTGCTTCGGTATCCTAGCTTGATCTGTTATCTGTAAACGTTCCCTAAATCTACTAATTTAGGGATAATCCACTGACATCCTTTAATACACATGTTCATTGAATCAGATGTACTGATAATATCCGCAATATAAATCTTTAAACTTCTTCTTACCTTTAAAAGTCCGTCACGAACGGTCTATTATGCTGCAACTCCACAGCTCTGCTAGCCTTGGCGCTAACTTCCGGGGAACGATTGAGAGGCTCCACGATCCGCCATTGCTGTAAAAAAGTGGTCCATTGGAGTGAACGGAGATGTCATAACTCTTCTATTATATGGCTCTGCGTTAACCTACTCTTCAAGAACTTCAAGAACAAAAATGGATAGCAGGAAAAGCCTGGTTTATACTTCTCCGTGAGCGCGTTAGCGAACGGAAATGTTCATTTGGTGCTGATGTTCGCACAGTGGTTTGCCATCAGGGATGCAAACTTGTCACCTTTCGGCAAAATTCGCCGTTTTGAATCCAAAATAGGTCGTTTGTGTGATTTATGTAGATCTGCAATAAAAATATTTTTGGGGTATGGGGGGATCTGGGACCCGGAGTAATCTGCGGCCAACAATCAGGAGAGATATTTGATAGTTGGTGCTTGAGAAGACTAAACATGTATCTGCAATTGACATGAATGGAAACGAGTAATAAAGTATATTCATTACTCGTTATTCTCTACTAATAGTTCATTAAAGACTGTATATTATGGCTATTTTGCACATCCCTTTCAAGATTTTCAAAGGTGTATTGACATATCATATACACAACTACGGTGTAGTTATGCAATGAATTAAACACTTGGGTCACAGGTTCCTCAACAGTGCATTACAAGACATCTATCAATATGTGTGAACCTCCACCATTAAACTGTCATATTCTGCACATTTCTTATTCTATCTACATACATACGAGTATAATTCATATGTATAATATCAGTTAAAATAAGTGCTTCAACATAGTTAACATTGCAGGAAAGCAATATATTAGACGTTAAGTACTTTGTCAGGCTTAATATTTATCTGTAGATAGATACCCCCAACGTTTTTTTCTTATTTAAAAGAAGACCTTAATCTGTTATTTAATGTTTAAATAAAGGTTAATTCGTTTTTCTGTTTTGCACCTCCTCCTATTAATATCTTTGTACATGCTGCACTAAACTGTTTTATTGTAGAGATCACTTTATAGTATCTTCTTGATTTTTTATATTCTATATTTCTATATTTATACTTTCCCCCTATGAAAGTATGTACTCTTAATATTTTTTTAATCAAACTATAATTCAATAACGTGCTTTAACCACTAGATGCACACAAGGTACACAAATGTTTTCCGGATTTCATATCATATAAACACCAAATCCCAGCATGCATTGCGGCTAAAACATCCAATAAGCGAGCTTAAAACCATAGCTGAGGATCTTGGGTAATGCCTATGTCCGGTTATTTTTATTTTGAAATTCAGTCCCTGACGGAGGCCAAAAAAGCCCGAGATTATGGAATTAAACCAATAAATAAAATCAAGGATAATTGTGTGTTATTGGTGAGTAAATAACAGTGTGTTATTTTGAAAAGAATAACAAATTAGAAGGAAACAAATATTTAAAAAATACAGATTTCAGTATTCTGAGGCTCTGAGCCCCATTTAGTTTCCTCACAGACGGCAACAAAAGTCCGAAATTATACGATTTAAAATAAAAGCAATAATTGTGGCTTGATATTGAGTAAGAACATGTTTTTATGAACCACACAGCTTCAGGTCTTCCTCGACCCGACCGGAGAAAAAGACGTGCTGCAAGCAGTAGAAATACATTGCTTTTAAAATCGTGCTGTGCAACACGAAAAAAAATCGTGCTGTGCAACACGAAAAAAAGGGGCAAATCGTGTTGGGGAACACAAATCAATAGATTAAAATCGTGTTGGTGAACACGAAATGCCGTGAGACTGGGTTGTAATGTTTTGGTTTATGAGTTCACCACACTGATGTAGCCAGAAACATTAGGATGCTAAGTGAATGGGAAAGTGTGTCCCAAACTTTTTACTGGAGCTGTATGTATTTAGGTTTACCACCACATTAAGACTTGTTTTATTCTGTGAATGCACGTCCAGCTCCTCCACTGCAGTATCAAAAAGGTTATTGCGTTTAGACAGTAACCTTTCCCTAGCCTGTAAGCACATGAGAACAGTCGCAGCTGCCTGTAATGAAGGCAAACAGTGTATCACATTGTTTCCTGCAGCTTAATCTGTGATTCTTACAGAGGTGGTGGTGTGTGCAGCAGCAGCACAGGTAACGGTCCAAGACAGGAGAAAACAGGTTGGTAGAAAACGAGTTGTAAAGCAAAGTTATTTATATTTACCTTTGCAAGACGACTATGTGCCTTTTTCAAAAATACACTACATCTTGATATGGTTACATTGTTTTGATTGCAGTGGTATGTGGAACTGGACAGTTCTGTTTTAAGGTTGTGGAGAGCAGTGTGAGGAGAGGTTGACACTGAGTGGTCCTGTGAGTCAGGAACAACTGGTAAATAAAAAACAATGACAGTTTTAAGAATAGCACACTTCTACTTCATACTAGCCCAAGGAAGCCCCACAGGTGTGCTCAATTTAAAAAGAGTGTGTGCATGCGATTGCAGTGATGAAAGTGAAACATGCGTAGAGGGTACATTTGAAAGCAAACTAAGTGTAGTAAAAGTATGCCATATTCAAATCAACCAATGTGTTTTGCAGATGTGTAAAGTAGAATATGTATTGCATAATTTCCTTAAGTCTTGTTTGTGTTATAAGTTAATGAAAGCAGGCTTTAGGTTTCTGCAACAGTATTCTGATATACATTTCATATTTACAGGCTGGAAATGAATACTTGCACATGGTCAAGGACCTTGCAGAGATGAGGTATGAATTCAGTTGCATAGCGTTGTCTTGTTAATTTGCATCTGAACAGTTAACTTGAGTTTTGACACCACACAGGGAAAGAGCATTACATCGTTGAATCTCCACTTGACTCCAGCTTGGCTGTTTGACCTGCCCATATTGTTACATTGCATGGGTTTTGTATAATCTGTCGGTCATGTTCCCATACACCACCACATTCACTGAAATAATTCTGTTCAGACTGCAATGTTTCTTTTGGTTTACCAGATGTGTCTGAGAGGATCATCCCAGGGCCTGCAAAGACTACATTTTCAGACAAATAGCTTTTTAGTACTTTACATATAATTGTACCATCTCATGAATGTTTTTTTCTCTGGCCTTTTTAACAGGCATGATGGACTGGAAGGGTTGCCAGGCAGTATTGGGCTTGAACGCAGGGTGCCATTTTGTGTTAGCGGACAGAAACCGAGATATTACTCGAACATTTCCTGGGACAGTGCCCTGACAGCCAGCACCCAGATTACGTTTCTTTAGTTGGACCTTCTTTTTATTTGTGACGCCCCTCACATTTATGTTACAGCTAGTGTTTGTTTGAAGGCCTGAATGATACCTCTGTTGATTTGTTAATGTAATATGTATAAAGATTGTTTTAGGAAGAATGGATGAGGGTCAGTGAACATTAAGGTGTGATAGTGCTTTACTGTCCACACCACAGTTCACCAGTGTAGAACTCTACAGGTCTTTAGTACAGGTCTGTGGATGTTGGAGGTCTACACTAATCCAAAAGTAAGGTGAGGTACGTTTATTTGCACATTTCAGACGCAGAGGCAATTCAAAGTGCTTTCCATGATTATTAAAACATGATAGTAGAACAGAGAGGAACACAATAAATAAACATAATGCAATAACAGTTTCATAAAAACAATGCATTAATGAGATATAAAATAGTTTAAAAACGACATTGTAAATATGGTAAGTGCTAAAACAAGTTAAAAGGCTTCTGGGTAAGCTGTAAAAAGTAGTGTTGTTAGCATCGACTTAAAAGAACTCAGCGTTGGTGAAGACCTCAGGTTTTCTGGAAGTTTATTCCATTTGTGGGGAGCATAAAAACTAAAAGCAGCTTCGGCGTGTTTGGTTCTGAGGCGGGGAGTAAGTTCCAGGGACAGCTATACATCTGAAATGCAGAATTGATCTACATTGTTTAATTACATTGTGAAAAGGTACCTTCTCAGAAGGCAACACAACAAAAAGGTGCTCCATTAAATGTGTTTTCCTTTGGTCAATCATAGATAGGAAAGGTATGAATCATGACTAAATCAAGGATGAGGATGTCAACTACTTAATGTTCAATAAATAATGCATTACTTATTGAATTGCTTTACATTGGGCTGTTACAGGTCCCTTTAGACATGATAGTCTGGTTACTCATTGCTACTGCCTATCCACTATTGGTAAGATGATATGGGGGGCTGATGTAGGCTTTTGATGATGGGCTCTGTTTAAAAAGAAATACATATACAGTAAGGGTTGAATACATATACAGTAAGAGTTGAATACATATACAGTAAGAGTTGAATACATATACAGTAAGAGTTGAATACATATACAGTAAGAGTTGAATACATATACAGTAAGAGTTGAATACATATACATTAAGGGTTGAATACATATACATTAAGGGTTGAATACAGTAATGGTTGAATACATATACAGTAAGAGTTGAATACATATACAGTAAGGGTTGAATACATATACAGTAAGAGTTGAATACATATACATTAAGGGTTGAATACATATACAGTAAGGGTTGAATACATATACATTAAGGGTTGAATACATATACAGTAAAGGTTGAATACATATACAGTAAGGGTTGAATACATATACAGTAAGAGTTGAATACATATACATTAAGGGTTGAATAAATATACAGTAAAGGTTGAATACATATACATTAAGGGTTGAATACATATACAGTAAGAGTTGAATACATATACAGTAAAGGTTGAATACATATACAGTAAGAGTTGAATACATATACAGTAAGAGTTGAATACATATACAGTAAAGGTTGAATACATATACAGTAAGAGTTGAATACATATACAGTAAGGGTTGAATACATATACAGTAAGAGTTGAATACATATACAGTAAGGGTTGAATACATATACAGTAAGGGTTGAATACATATACATTAAGGGTTGAATACTGTTAGAGATTTGGAGGGATATCTGGTCCGCTTTTCAAATCTCCGCGCGTTCCTATGAAGCTGTTTATAATACAGGAAGGAATCCATATCTACAAAGTAACAGTTAATCTACTTTAATGGCAATATGACAATGCAATACAATCATTACAATACAACATGATATATTACAGTTATATTGTAATGCTTAAGGAGTAATGCCGGCTTACTCCTGCCCTGGTCCGCATACTGCAGAGCTACTTTCACCCGAGGGCAGCATGTGAAGAAGAGGCCGAACGCCAGGGATCCACCGGATATATACCAGAGTAAGAAGGAGGGGTTTGGTGTTAGGTCAGCTGGTCATCTTTTCAGGTCATCTCATTGGGAGACGCAACGCAGCAGGAAACGCAGCAGGAAACCAAACAGGCTCACTTTCCAACAAAAGGTCTCAAGGCCTGCATACCTACACCTCCCCCACAGAGCCATAAAACCCTGTTTACTCCAACCAGCCCAGAATGTTTATAGCCATTTGTAGTCCTTACATTTATGAAAGGATAAAACAGAGAAATCAATATAAAACACAAACACAGGTATTGTTTGAACAGTATTCACTTAACTGCTACTGTTGATAAGCACCAGAGAAACCCAAGAGACCTCTCTTAATAGCACAACCACTGTAGCTCGTTCTAAGTTGAATGCAAATCAGGACATGCTCTCACCTTCCCCCATCTTCCTTTGTCCTCAAAAACACATGTCAACAGGCCCCAAATGCAGCTCACAGTTTTACCCAAATTATTCTCATTTTAAGCTTATCCATAGTTTGCTAACATGAATAAATACAAATATAACTCTACAAATCCCCCTTTTTATCTCCTTCTCCAGAGATAAACTTAGACATGGCATTTTGAAATATACCCACTGTCATTATTTTCTACTGTGTCCGTAAATCCATCCGAAGCTGGTATTTAGAGTACTTGAAACCTTCATGGAGACAGAACACCACTTTCAATGGCAGTGAAGGAACCATGAGGGGGTAGCTGAGTGCTAGAATCATCAGCCCCCCCCCCCCTCGGAGGAATTGCCCACAAGGACAGCTAATAGGGAGGGGGAGATGCAGCTTGCCCTTCACGGGTGGAACTGATCAGAGCGAAGTAGACTCCTCTGCTGCCTCGACAAGTCCCCTGTGCCGTCCTGGCTTGCCGTGTCTTTGTCCCCCAATCCGCTGACAGCAGCTTCTGGGCTGCCTGCTAGAGAGATGTCTTCCTCCTCCTCGTCCTCCGGCCCGCTGATGGCGGCTTCCGGGTCGATGCTGTAGAGATGTCTCCAGGGTCCTCCTTCTCCGGCCCGCTGATGATGCCTCCCGGGTCGTCTGCTGTAAGGATGTCTCCAGGGTCCTGCTCCTCCAGTCTGCTGCTTCCGAGTAGTCCACGTCTGCCAGGGCCACGTCCGTCCTGATGTCGTCCCCTGGTCCTAGCAGGTGGTTTCCCCGCCGCACACTGGCTCCCGTGGTACGAGCTGTCCCCCTTTTCTCCCAGGCAGACGGCATAAGAGGTCCGCTGGGTCACTCGGTCGGGGTCGGAGAGCCTGGGGTTGAGCCACTTTGTCCTCGTGCTTCTCGGGTCCCCCTTTTGGCGCCAGTGACCTGTGTGGAGAAATCTGATACAACTCCCTCAAGCCTACGCTCAGCTGTTTTGACCCACTTGGAGCCTCTTGGTGGGGTGTCTTGAAACAACAGCCGTCTGTGAACAGGTTTTCTAAATTAATTGTAGACCTCCTATCTGCCAGTGCAGCTTCAGAATCTTAATACTTGGACTGTGCCAACTAAATAAGAACCCCAACATCTTTAGGTAAACTAAATAACATATTTCAATAGCTCTGAATTTCTGACAAGCATCCGTGTTTATTTTTAAATGAAATCCTATTTAAAATCCAAATCTAATATGAACTGCTAATGTTTCTGGTAAAGAAACACACTAATGTTATGGATTCAAAAACAACCAAAATCACGATGCTAACAAAGTGAATGATTTCCTGGTGATACTGCTTCTACCTGTCAGTGCTTAGATATTATCACGCTGAAAAAATGAATACAGAATTCCAACAAACTGTCATCAAATGTCTTTCTATTATAAATTTAGATGAAATGTATATCCCCATAATGACCTAAGCAATAAAGTCTATGGCTTTTACTTCTTTACCAGGCTAGTTACATGATGTTGTCTAAATTAAATTCTGTCTCAATACACTACTATGTTTTAGCTTTAACTGTAATATGTTCTTTCTACATTTCAAACCTCAGTTACTCTAATGTCTGTTAAAATATTACAAAATTGTTTAACTATCACAGGTCAACTTCTTCGGTTTCACAGTAGCCCCTTGGCCACTGCTTCTGTGTTACCTGTTATAATTCAAATCAATATTTAGAAACATCTCAACATTCATCAAACAGTATCTTATCCCCAGATATGGAGCAGGTTAATTACATTCAATGCTCAGTTTGAACATCTGGGTTGGGGCGGAAGGTTTCTGTCAATCCTTAAAAGAAAAATTTAAATTGTGAATTTTACAGCCATGTTGACATTTATACATTATACACACTCCCCCCTTTTACACATGAAATCATGTGTAACAAAAGCCCTGTAATGGGAGGGGAACAAAAACTGTCAGGTAATTGGTTAGGGACATAACGAACATTATTATCATTATTTCCACAGTGAACACTTCAGTGAAAAGAAGTGTTCCTCTCCGTCCTTCAGGCCTAAAAGAAACAGAATCTTCAGCTTTTAGTTTTACATTTGCAAACCGCCAACTCATGTGAGAGGAAAATATCACATGTGTGGTTTCCCCTTTTTGTGGAATTTTTAGGAAACCTCTCGTTTCCCTTGGAGCTCCAAAATAATATGTTAGTCCAAAAACATGCTTGGTTAGTTATTGTTTTAGAATCATGCAGTTACACTGATCACATGCCGGCATTCATTCACACTCACACTGTCTGGTTGTCATGTCAAGTTTGGTCAGGTTCACCCCAGAGTCAGTCATCCACAGTGCCTTGTCAAGTTACACTGTCGGTCAGGGTCAAAGGTCAGTTGGTCTCCGTCTTTTTTGGCCATGTGTCGTGCTCTGCAGAGACTTTGACATTTCAGCATAGGCCAGTATCCTTTGTCTACAAAAATATGTCACGATTTCAACTATAATTTTCAAGATGATTCTCACTTGTCATTGGGACTTCTGCCTCCCACTTTTCCTGAAACTTGGTACAAAACTCACTTCCTTCGAGTACCACTACTACTGCAATCCAATTACACCTAATTAGTATTAAAATGTCTAATGATCTATTTCAGAAACTTTTGTACAATAACTATTATCTTGAGTCAAAACATTACTAGGATCTGTGTCGCTCTGCATTTCATAGCTCATTATAATTCTGGTCTACTTAAAAAACGATGTTAAACTCTTTAGCAGTGTGTGGAACCTTGGGTGTCTGAACATGCAACAATTACTCCCTCCTTTATCAAGGATTTAAAACCGAAGTCCTATGGTAATAACTATGCCACAATGGTGAAATCAACACTTTAGATTGGAATTTAATATGTGGCTTGGCACTAGCCATTAATACAAATAAAGATTTGTCCTATAGAGTGGTTCCTAAAACTATCCTTTTAATGGTGATCAATATTGTAACCAATGAGATCACTACTTTAGTCACACGTGAATAAAAATGTCTTAAAGAATGAATTGTTAACATGATGAAAATATTGAAGAATATGGTTCTACTCTGTCAGTGTGTTTTAGGATGATTATCATCTTACTTTAATATTTTCCTCTTTACTGCTATTTTTAATTTAC